GGAGTTGTTGAGTTTGAACATTTGTTGATGAATTTTTAGATTGTGAAAGGGATGGCCGCCACAGTTGCGTGTGAGCCATGCTTCGGTTACCGCCAGTACACGGCCGAAGCATAGTTGTGTGCGGTGTCCGACGGGCATGCCGTGACTAACACCGAGGAGGTTTAGAAGGTCAAAATATAGAGGCCGACAGCATGGGCAAAAGCTACCAATTTGAAACTTTGGGAAATATTTGACGTTAATCATGATTTAGATAGTTGACACAGGTATTCTAAAATGCGCGTGTGACATTTTGAGACTCCCATTTCATCATTAAAGTTTACACGTCTGACAGCCTGTAGCTATAATGAAACGCTAAGCGTTACAAAACATGCCCAGACACGTATCATTTAGCCACGCCCTCAGAAGTTCGAAGCTCCGCCCCCTAAGTACGAGGCTCCGCCCCCAGACACGTGATTACGAAAAGTCATGCTTTGGAATGCATCACGTTTTGGAATGCAACAGGCATTCCACTTCGTGTTATTCCAAATCATGTTTTGGAATGGACCACGTTTTGGAATGCAGGTGCATTCTATTCCAAATCATGATTTGGAATGGACCACGTTTTGGAATGCAACAGGCACAAGACTACATAAAACGCAAAAGTAGAGTTACTAGTAACCCCGCCAAGACGTAGTAGAATTCTCATACTACCACGTGTTAGCACTCGAATTAACTACCGTATGATATTCGGCGTAACAAACGTGTTACGTACGAACGTGTCATGGTCGCCTCGCACTACTTTATGGCGGCGAATAGATAATTCTGTCTGGAGGGGGATATTCGGTGGGGCATAGCAAAGCTATGAGGTTTGTTTGGGTTTTTAGAAAACATCGTTCTACACAAAATTAGCCTTACATATTTCACTTCGACTTCATCTATCTAAGAAGCACAGTGCAAAGAAACATTCCAAGAAAAAATTAAAACTGTAAATATAAATATAAACAAGTGTCCATAGGCGACAACTCTCCGTGAAGTTTTATATTTTGCAGATTGAGAACAGTATAGTGCATGTAATCAGTATGTGATCACTTAACAACTGGTAACAACGTATCGTAAAAATGGCTAAATCCCTGGTCTAATAATCTAGCTTGACTAAAAAAAATCGCGCTCTTGGTGGCCACCTGCCACCCCCCTTGGGGAAACAGAACTTTGCAGACTGACTAGTGTAAGCACACCCTACATAAAATTAACAACACGACCATCTGAATAGATAAACAAAATCAGCTTTCATAACAATATTTTTTATTTACTACATATTATTCACTTGACAAGGTATCGCAGTAGGTCAAACCACAATCCCAAAGATACTCGCAACCATTATGCACAATAGCCACC